AGTTGCGAGAGAGAGATGAGAGAGATGAGGGTAGAGCAAGGAGAACCGATGACCCGAGAACACAGACCATGTCAAGGAACGGGACGGAGAGACGAGAGAGAGGAGAGGTGACGAAGGGAGAGAGAGAGAGAAGACGAGACGAGAGAGCAGAGCAGCAGAGAGACGATTTCTTCGGAGGAGAGAGGAGAAAGAAGAGAGAGACAAGACATAAAGAGTAGAAAGAGAGGAATATGAAAGAGACGAGAGTGATAGGAAATGTGAATGCGAAATGTGATTTTGGAATGGGGCCTATGAAGGGCGGGTCCTAAACGCTGCAAGCCTGATCACTAACGTTAAATTGCACGATCTCTTTTAATAAAAAATAATCTCCTGTCGCACAACAATTGCTATATCAATATTTTTCTAACTTTGTTTTCCCCAATAGCAGGCTGTATGACACAGACACGAGTGATTCTGTAGAGGCAAATGACCGACATACCGTCGTGGCGAGCGAGTTCAAATATTAGCACAGGTTCCGATCAAGCCGTCCTTTCAGAAAACGTAATCTCGGCAGAGCTTTTTCGACGTAAAACGCTCGTTACTTGATCCCTATGAATCCCGCGTGACTTTGGCGTGACACGCGCGGCGATCACGTGATCACCCACGATTGATCCGAAAGCAGCTTTGAACAGCGCGACTTTATTAGATTTCGTAGCTTTGAATATCGACTTTATGAGATTCTGCAGCGCCGAATACCGAGTTTATTGATTCCACAGATGTTTTACGAGAACAGAGAAAGACCGAGGTTCGTGACATTGAGACGCCCGGGCAGGTGGGTGGGGGCTGGGGCCCGGTAAGTCGTCATGATAGCAGCTAACATAAATTAGTAACACACGTGCGCTAGTCACACAGGTGAGAAAGTCCCACAGGTGCGCTAGTCACACAGGTGAGCTAATCATACAGGTGAGTTAGTCACACATGTGAGCTAGTCACACAGGTGCGCTAATCATACAGGTGAGTTAATCACACAGGTGCGCTAGTCACACAGGTGAGCTAGTCACACAGGTGAGAAAGTCACACAGGTGCGCTGATCACACAGGTGAGAAAGTCACACAGGTGAGTTAGTCACACAGGTGAGAAAGTCACACAGGTGCGCTGATCACACAGGTGCGCTGATCACACAGGTAAGCTAGTCACACAGGTGCGCTGATCACACAGGTGCGCTAGTCACACATGTGAGTTAATCACACAGGTGAGTTAGTCACACAGGTGCGCTAGTCACACAGGTGAGCTAGTCACACAGGTGCGCTAGTCACACAGGTGAGAAAGTCACACAGTCCCACGTGCGCTTGATCAACAGGCTGCCGCTGATCACACAGGTGAGCTAGTCACACAGGGTGCGCTAGTCACACAGGTGAGCTAGTCACACAGGTGCGCTGATCACACAGGTGAGCTAGTCACACAGGTGAGCTAGTCACACAGGTGAGCTATCACACCAGAATGTGAGCTAGTCACACCAGGTGAGCCTAGTCACACCAGTGGTGCAAGCTAGTCAACACAGCCTCACAGGTGCCTGATCACACCAGGTGCGCCTGATCAACACAGCGTGCGGCTAGGTCACACAGGTGACGCTTAATCACACAGGTGCGCTAATCACACACGTGCGCTAGTCACACAGGTGAGAAAGTCACACAGGTGCGCTGATCACACAGGTAAGCTAGTCAGACAAGTGCGCTGATCACACAGGTGAGCTAGTCACACAGGTGAGCCGAGCTAGTCTATGATAAGCGCGGGCGATCTGTTTTCATTCTCTTACGACACTTTAACCGCCGACGAACATTCCACATTCCGTATGCCATGGCATACATCTTGCTGATAGTGTCGCAGCGGGCGGCAAATGCTTTACGGAAAAAAACATTCGTAATATTTCTATTTTAGCGCCTGGACGCGTACGCTGATGAAAATATCAATACACATCCGCACAGTTGTCGTCACAGTGCCACACGGCCGTCGTCATCGTCCATCTGTTGTCAGCGCATTGTCGGTCGTCCATCGTCATTCCGTTATCACCAGCACGTTCCGTCGTCATCGTCATCGTTGTCACGGCCGCAGTGTCGCCGTATCCAATCTCTCGTCGTCATCCACTGTCGTCATGCGTAAACCGACCAGTCTGTCATCGATCTTCATCACCCGGCATGTCAGTCATATTATGATATTGCATCTCGTCATCGTCAATCACCGCACTTCGTCATTGGTCACCGGACCGGCACTGTCGTCATCATTGACTACCGCACTGCTCGTCATGTGCCTACTGCGCTGGTCGGTCATCGCGTCACGACCATTACCGCACTCGTCGTCAGCGTCAACCACTGCGCTCGTCGTCATCGTCAACAACACAGCTGTCGCCATCACCCGACCACCTCACTGTCTATTCATCTCCCCGATCCTCTGTCGTCACCCGTCACTACCCTCACTTTTCATCGTCGTCAGAGCTCTATAATCTAGGTGCTGTGTTCGGGTGGTTGGTCCGGTAAGAGTGTCAGAACTTGCAGATGCCGCTTACAGGTACGTGGGGGGGAGGGGGGGCGGGGGGGGGGGGGGTGATATGAATACCACACGGGCATGAAACGCTACGCGCGCACGCCCCCACACGCACGGCCACCTACGCACGCCGAGCAACCTCACGCACTGCACGCCGCGCCGAAGCACGCAGACTCGTACTCACGCGAGCCACATTTGCACGCATGCACGCTACGCACAGCACATATCACGCACACACGACCCGTACGCCCATACACATGCGCGGAACGGAGGGGCAAGGCGGCTGGCAGCCAGAAGCACTAGTGCATGCCCGGTAGGTACCACGACTGGGCAACATGCAAGCAATTGAGCGACTGGCCGACAAGGGGTGATAGGTTGAAGATCGTATGTTTAGTGTAATGCTGTGCGCGCTTGAATTTTGTATTTCTCATTAGAAAGGGTTAGAATCTTTGCAATTTGATTACTTTCAGAAACTAGAATCTTTTCTGAATCGTCAGTGTAAACGGCTGTCCGAGAGTGCTGTTGCTGGTGCGGCCGAGAGAATTTTCAAAAGAAAGCCTACTTTTTTGTGCAAATTCCGATTGCAAATTGCCATTTCGATGTGTGTGTTGGAAAAATGTGCTTTACAAGAAAATTATGGAAGAATTTTTTTGTTAATGAACATATATGGTGTCACTTGCAACTATCTTGGCTGTATATGGAGATAATTTTTTCGTAAGTATGGCGCCTATGGAAAATTAGATTCCATTGGTGGGTACCGTTAATGCGCGCGTTGCGCGCTTCACGTAACACCACACACACTACACACACACACAGCACACACACACACACACAGCACACACACTACCACACACACACACACACACACCACCCACATACCATCCACACACACACATACACACACACTCCACGACACACAATACACACACAGCACACAAACATACACACACTCACGCACACACACCACACACCACACCACCACACACACCAACACCTCAAGGTAGCGGCGAAAAGAATGATACGGCGCCCACTGATGGAATCACGAA